ATATATAATCTAAGTTGACATGACTGGGCGTGGGCGGATGAGAGGCTCCACACAACCCCCCCCCCCCATGAAATTTTCACCTCGGTATGCATGGCAAGAGAGCTGAAACTTGGGAGCATTTAACCTCGGTATGCATGGCAAGAGAGCTGAAACTTGGGAGCACCTAGTGGAATACGAATATGAACGGCGCTTTCCACGATCTTTTTCCGTTATTTGGTGTCTGTAGATTATTTCTTGTGCCGACGAGTGCAACTTTTTGTCCTCTACAAAAATATCAGCTTCAATTTGCCTAGCTTAGTGCGTCCATACCGTAAGATTGAGCTAATGAGACTTTCAAACAAGGATGTAAGCTACAAATGAGCTGAATTTAAATGCTTTAACAATGCTAAATACACGAAGTCGATATCTGAAAGAACAGCTTTTGAAATACGATTCGTAGAATATTATCAAGAGTTTGGCAAATGTATTTAAATAAATATATTATTTAACGGCTCCCGAAGTTGAGGCCCTGAGATAGTTATTGACGTAGGGCTAAATCTCCGACAAAGTTCTGTTCAGAGCAAGCTTACGAGATCACTAAAAGACTATGCTTTTAGAACCCTTTAGTCAACTCCATTTGGGGCTAATATTTTCTATCAACTGTTCCAGAGAACTAATACTTATGCTCAGAGATCCTCATAATTTAGTTATCTCTAGCAATACACAAACTGCAATAGTTCTTTCCATGATACCTGCCATTTGAAGCCCAAAACACTGAAGGGACTGCAAGATAGAGAATCCTGTTTCTTCCACTTTTAGGGATACTCCCATACGTGGGAAGAAAAAGAAAAGGAGAAAAAAAAACAAGACCAGCAATGTAATGAAAATAGAATGACCTTGAAATAACGACCAAGGATGTCCATTGGGCAGGCAGGACAGGTGGCTTACAGGTTGAGCCAGAAAAAATAGAAAGATAAGCCCTTGATCTGAGACGGCAGAAGACCCTTTTTTAAGACTTTTCAAAGAGAGCAAAAAGAAGCATTCGGTTACGAATCGTGTAAACACCGTTTTGAAGGAGGGGGTTGATAGGAGACAAGGGATAAGGTATTCTTGAATTAGACGATAGCTCTTTTAAACAAAAAACAGAAAAAAAATGGTAGATTTTCATACGATACATGTGTCAATAACGCATTCCCAGTAGAAAAGTATAAAGATCTCTTCAGTTTTGCCAAGGGCGTTATTTCTCTAGGAAAGATTAAAAATCCGGATACTTATTCCATAATAGAGGGAACGAAGCTATTGATGGTAGGCAATGGGGACAAGTTCTATTTCCTGCAGAGTTTGTGAATGGGATAGACAGTATATCTTAATGGAAACTAGACACTCCGATCTTAACGCTAGGTCTAGGACGGGGTTACTATTTCTCATTAGTCCACTCCGGGGTATGTGACGGAAAGAGAAAAAAAACTATGTCAGAGAACTAAAGACAGTCATCAGAGCTCTCTCTGAAATACCACAAGTGTATTCCTCAATCCATTTCTTTCATACATTGTCAGACATTGGTTGCATCAACAAGAAGAGATCGACTCGCTTGAGAGGCCTACTGAGTTTATCAGAACATTTGCAGTCTGCTTAAACAAAAAATGTCCTTTCACAACGTCTAATTTGGGATCCTAGAATCTTTTCCCATATGCCTAATTTCAAGGCAATGGAGTAGATTCTGTCGCACAAGATTTGCATTCGTTAGATCGACAGAAATCAGACAGATTCACTTCAATGACAGAGATAATTGTGGCAGGGTGACCTGATGGTATCAGCTGTAAATTGGGGAAGGTGTGGTTATGTCTACCTTTTACCTTCCAACCCAGACTTTATAGCCAAGTTGATCCATATTTAAAGCAATATCAATAATATATATTACTTGTTTCCCCCCTTTGTTAGAACAAAATTTGTAGTGGACCTCTCTTCGAATAGTGTTGGCAACCAACTCCCTAGGAAGCATCGCTCACTGTATCATTTGCATCACTCAAATCCCATTTGGAGTGTCTACTATCAGGCATTATCAGTTAGGATGAATATTTCAAGGTTTCTTAAGGATTTCTAATAGTAAGGTGCCATCACACATTTTTGTTTTGCATCGTCATTTTCATTACAACACAATTAATTTTAAACCCATGCTTTAGCCATTAAGTTGCCTCCATTTAACTGATGAAAAGAGATTCTGTAGATGTAAACCATATCATTAAAATATAATTTTCATCTCAGCCTAGATAGTTAATGGGGTTTACCATTTTCAGTGTCCAGTTGTGGTACGAAACAGATTTTTATTTACCCATCTCAGGTATATAGATATGGGTAGACTAGCAAAAATGAAATTTAATTCCCAAAACGTTACAAGTGTCCTTTACTATGTTATAAAGGAAGCAGCACCAGAATTTAGTCCAAAAGCCAACCAAGTCAGACACGGTGTTGCTTCGTTGGCTCTTCTCCGATCTTTTGATTTGGGTATAGTACAGGAGTTAGGCTAATGGGCATCAACCAATTCCTTTGTTACAAGATATTCTAACACATCATATACTCAGATCCCATGTGTTGCGAAGCTCCTTCATCTTCGGAGGAAATACATAGGTGTTTTGAATGGTTTATAAAGAAAAAGATTGGTCAAATAACTTCTGCTTTAATAATCATCCCTCTGTAATAGATTTTCAGGTAGATCTAATTCCTGCTGTGTGAATTAGCAATAAAATTAATGGGTCTGACATATGGAAAACTCATATTTCTTGGCGTTTTGCAGGAAAGGTGTATTTGGGTTTGAAGGGAGTAAGCAGGGATATGGTCATATCCTTTGTTAGAGGGAGTTTTTGCTTTCCTTCTGCATGTAGGCATTTTATGCCTGGTATTAAAAATCTTGTTTTACCCAGAAAGTGGAGGCTGTAATGCTTAATATGTGGATTAATATAATTGTTGAATCCATATGTATTGAATTGTGGCAACAAAAACGGTGTTCTTGCTCTCCTCCCAAATGTAGAGAGAAAGATTGGGGTAAATTCATGATGAGAACAACACTTTGATTCCCTAGCCAATGTCGGTAGATTTTTTTTTTTTTTTTTTTTTTTTTTTTTTTGGCATTGATACAACGGAATTAGTCGATGACAATTCTGATTGTGCCAAGGAATTAATTAGGAATGGAACTAATAATCAAAGTAAGTGAAGAGATGGAAAATTATGAAAGGAAAGGACCAGTCAGTTATTCAAAATAATAACGGTAAATATATAGCAGTTGGAGTGAGTGATTTATATTTCAATTTTGTTGCACATTTTTATGCTTATAGTAATGATTATTTATCTTCAATTAGTAGGCAATGGAGTGTGTAAATATGGAGTTAACCTTAGACTTGAATTGTAATAAGAAGAGAATTTGCCTTTTTTATGTTTATTGCTAAGCTTTACTTTATGAAATGTCACCTGTTTGTTTCTAGAAGAACAAGTTATTGGTTAAAATGTTTCTATGACCACTGTAGCCTACATACACCCACTCAACAGAAATAAATTCTATCCACCCACAAACCATGTCCATCAAGTCATGCTCCCCACATTGAAAGTGTGCATCAAAATTGTTTTTCTTGGGGATTTCCTTAAAATCCAAAACCCCACATGGTGGCGTATTTGAATTTATCTTGACAGACTGGCAGCAGAATTTTAGTAAGAATATTTTCTATTATATACATGAAAATTTCTGGAATACGACTGGTGCCAGCAGTAAGATTTAAATTCATCATAGAACACTGGTAGATAGAGGTTTACAATTATTCTGTTCCATGTTAGTATAAATAATATTGTAATTTAAAAATTTTCATTGATGGCAAAAGTAGTATCAGGTGTTGGCAATGGTGATGAGACAACTATGGATGTGCAGTACCAAGGGGTGCAGAGCAGCATACAGGCATGGGCATCAACATGAGCAAAGCAGTTGAGGAAGATGGCCTTGGGAATGAACCAGCAAAGGCGGTTGAAGAGCATGTTCAGCTAGTTCAACCAGCCATCTCCTGAGCCTGGACAGCATCCAGGAATTAATGATTAAAACTTCCTTCAGAAAAACTACCAATGGCAATCATATGACTCAAACTCAAAATTTGAGAGCAAGGGATGCAGGGTAGCTACCCTTCTACACCTCTGGTTGGCCCTAAGGTTATTATCGCTTCTGGGCGAATGTCCAAAAGGGATGAAGTGATGCAGTTGAGAATGCAATATGAAGTAAAAAGTAGTCAGTTGGAAAATGTGATCGCTTACAGCCACTGTCCTTTGTCAGACAGCGTCTTTGCTCTTCTCCCGCACACAGGTATGTCAAGTTCTTGGTATTGTTTCACCTGGAAATTGAAGGTTGTAATGTTTAATAAGTGAATTATTATATATATAAAGAATTGTTAAGTGAGAAGGAGTCCTTTCTCCTCCCACAAGTAGAGAGAAAGAGGTTTTGGAAAATTTGTGGAGAGAACACAGCAGCCAGTGTCTGGATTTTGTTAATTTTTCTTTTTACATATATAAGCAAATAAAAATATATATTCATAAATAAATATATATATACATTTTTTGGTAATGAATTGGGAATTGAAATGAAGATCAAAGTAAAGTGTTAGAATGGGAAAAGGACTGATTAGTTATTCGTGCAAGGCATTGATGGTAAATAGCAGGTAGGACTGAGTCTTTCAATCCCATCTCTTACTTGTTTTGTTTTGTTTTTTATAGTAATGATAATTTATTTTTTTTACTGTAGGCAAAGGGGGATGTAACTTTATATATTAACCTTAGATTTTAATAATTTAGTAGAAGTGTTTTTTTTTTTTTTTACATTGTGATCTGCCCTCTTTGTTATTGTTTGTTTATAGAGTAAAAAGTTTTGGGTTTTAAAATTTTTTATGACCATTGTACCTCCGCACAGACTCAACAAAGGAATGAATTAAGAGAATTAAGTCATGCTACTCAATTAAAATTAGGCAAGTCAAAATCAACAAATTAGCAGCTGTAATTTAGTAACAATATATTTTTTGTATACAAAAATACTCAATACAAATGTAATATTTATAACAGACCTGTGTTGAAGTTTACCAATCAGATAATTTAAGTACTTTGTAGAAGGTAAAATATTTTTTTAAAGGCAGGTATGTGCAATTGAAAAGTGTTCTGTAGAAAATTTGTTTAATTGAGATTACCAATAATTTCATACAATGTACGCTTTATATAAACATTTTTCTTTATAATACAGACACATAAACTGTTAGTGAGCTGTCAGCCAAATCACAAGTAAATAATTTTACCAAAGACAAGTATATGGGTATAACAATGTCGTAATTCATAATATTTGAAAGTACTACCTCCTCTGGAAGTTCAGCCTCTTCAGCTGCACCTTCCAGTTCCAGCCTGTATCTCCGAAAAAAGGAAACCCCACAGGCAACAGATGATGTAAGTTGTAGCAAAGTAGCCGTTTTAAAATACTGTTGATTAAACTTAAATTTTTACTCATTCTCATCACAATATAAAAATGTGGCAAATTTTATAGAACTGTGTATCACAACAAAGGTTTTAAAAATGGTCTAGCAAAAATCAGTGCACATGTCACATAATGAATAAAGTAAAGTATGAGCCTATATTGAGACCATCTTAGTAAATCTAGCTGTACATTAAGACATCTAGCTGATGTAATATTCATAATTTCTGTTATACACTCTTCTGCATTACAAAGTTGTCATTTCACAGAAAGGGCAATATCTCCTAATCATAAGAGTCAGAAATATGGATCAGTGAAACCCAGCTCCAAAAGGGAGCAGAGCATGCTTTCTGAGGTGGCTACATTAAGCCCTTGGATACGAAATCTCTCCTGTCATTGTTCATTAAAGTTCGCCCAGTTTCCGTTTTTTCACAGCTTTATTCGGATTGTTGCCACTGTGTCCTGGGTAACTTCCCATCTTCAGCCAGAGTACTGCTTTTGCTGGTTATTGGTCCAGAGAGCATAAATTATCTTTCCAATTCTATCTCTAACGATAGGGGTACTGGGCCATCAACGGCTTATGGGGTTATTATAAACCCTTGGATCCTTTTCTTAGGAGGAACTCCTTTTGAAAGCGTTGTAAAAGTCATATCAAGATGTCATTGATGATATACATCAAGGAAAATTTGAGAGCAACTTTGAAGCCAAATAAGGATAAGCTAACGTAGAGTCTTAATACTTTTGCATTCTGGACAAGTTCATTTTGTTCTAGTAAAAGAGTGGCTCAAAAGAGGTAGAAAAAAAAAAATGCACACATTCCACAAACACAAATTGTCAGACAAACTGCTTATTCCATTAAAGCCAGGGTTCCACTAGCCTCATTTGACTCTGGATCCAAACAAATCAGTTATTACCCAACTTTTGTCTAGGCCTAGTATATGCACTCTGCTTCGGGTCTGGCTTCCCAACTTCCTCATTCTTAATCCAGATCTTGCTCTTTTTTAGCAAGCAAAAGAATCTAGTTTATGATCATTTTAAACATTTGTTAAATATTATATAGTTAAAATTTTGAAGATATTCTAGGCATATAAGAAGTGTAACTCTGATACCAGGGCAGGGCCTGAGGAGTGGAACCCAAGATTCTAAAAAGAAATGTATTCTACTTGGAGTGGAGAGCTTTCACACATGTACTCTGCAATGGAATGGAAGCTTACAAATGAAACGTGTCCTTGGCCAGTTTTGTGGTAAAGGTGTAGCCTAAATGGGTGTATGGCCACTGCACAACTCCACCTCATGTGGTAGTTTGTAATGTGTGGTACCAAAACCAATGAAATATCAAATAATTGGACAAAATATGTTCTATTAAAAACTTGCAACAGCACTAGAGAAAAACTATTTAAAATAAAGAGGATGAGGAAAGTACAGAGAGGGATAAAAAAAAATAATAATAAAGAAACAAAGACGGGCTAACCTAACACTTATTGAAATCAGGAAATGACTCTCCGGTGAATGGAACTACTCACACCTATCCTGTATACTTACAACTGTAACTGACATTAAATTTTGGGTTACAGAAGAGTTTATGAAAAGAATATGCATTACAAATCTGTAATACTGAAAACAAGATCTTTGTTTTTACAGTTCTGACACTTATGGCTATTTATTTTATTTAATCTTTTTAGGAGCCAAAGTAATTGTCTTGTCGTATATCAACTCCATACAATTTTCACTATATATTATGTACAACTGCAACACCAAAGCTTACAAAATATAATCTTTATCACAATAAAAAAAGTAAAAGATTTATGATGGAATGACTGGTTTAGTGTGTTACATTGTATCACAATGTACAAATGAAAGATACAACTATCAACATTGTTTATTATTGCCCTCTGGAAATACCTACAGCTACTAAAATTTGAAAAAAAAAAGAAAAAAAAAAAACTACTCCCTGGAAAAAATACTGTTTTTTCATTACCCATTTCATAAAATACTTTTACAAAGCATACAAGCCTTGGCTGTCTCATCCACATCACTTTTTAAGGGATTTCATAAATGCTGTGAGTTCATATTCACTTTGATATTGGTCTTCGTCCCAAAGCTCTGGCAGATTCTCCAGCACTGCCTTTGCTCCAGTGCAGCCAACTCCAAGACCCTGAGTGCTACCTGTGTCATCACCTCTGTTTTGTGCCTCAGCCTTTCCGCCAGAATCAAGAGTGAACAGATCTAGCAGCTGTAAAAGAATGAACATTTTTTTTTACAGTAATGAGAATTTATGGACAACTGACATTTGATAATTTTAGAAGTAAAATGTGAAACTTTAAATATATATCAATATTGTAGTCAGACACAACTAAGGAAGTTTAAAAGGAGATAGTTTTTCCATTTAAGATTTTAACCAGATGCAACTGCAGAATGATCTGGAAACAAATAAAATTCTACTAGAAGCTCCACTAACCTGATTGGTGGCCATGCTAAGCAGACTAGAATTCTCATGGCTGATCACTGTATTTGCTGTCATCATCTTAAATTTCTGTAATCTGAAATCATAAAGGTAAAATGCCACAAGTATTAACAAAGACTAAAATTAATTTTTGTTAATCATGAAGTGTTAAGACAGTATTGAATAAATTCACTCTGCCCTATATTACAAAGCCCAAATAAATTGCATACCCCATAATCTTCTCCTCAAGGGTTCCTCTTGTGATAAGGCGGTATACATTGACAACACGTTTTTGACCAATTCGATGAGCACGATCCATGGCCTGTAGATCCCTCATTGGATTCCAGTCATGCTCAACAAAGATGACCTGTAATGACAATTATTGTTTATAAATTTGCTAAAAACAGTTCAATAAATATCAATAAATAAAGTATTCATATACAAATAATTTAAGAATTCATACATGACATACATTCAACATTGATTCAAATCTGAAATGGTTTCATGAAAAAAACTGTTGCTCATAAGAATATTTTATGGCAAGTAGTAGTAAAAAAAAAAAAAAAGCAACAAAGTAAAAGAGTACAAATTAGATAAATCATTTTGTATGTAAAAACTTACAGTATCTGCCCCTATCAGATTGAGTCCCAGACCTCCCACTTGTGTTGTGAGCAGCAGTAGATCAATGGAGGGATCTGCATTGAACCGCTGTACAAGGGAAGGATCTGCATTGAACCCAAGCATGTCTGGATCCTGCTGGGACTGAGCCATCGAGTCTCAAGTATGTCACACTTGGCAAGTGTCGCCTATAAGGTGTAAAAAGATATTGATAAAACCTTTTACTATTTTTGTCTCATAACTATAAAGAATGGGAGCCATTGTGATTTTTGCATAAAAATGCCCCTATATCCTCCAGAATACAATAAATTAAATAAGTACATTTATGTTTACTTACTTTAGTAAATCATCTTCAATTATATCTAACATGCCCTTCAGCTGACAGAAAATGAGTGCTCGATGAGGTGACACGACGACTTCAGTCTCTGTCCCTCCACCAGCACCAATGCCACAATCCAGAAGCAACTGTCTGTAATGAAGATACCAATATAAAAGTCTTAAGAGTTGTATTCTTAAATGTGTAAGTCTGCAAGGGAAAACATATTTCCCCATTGAGTATTGGCTCAAAAAGAATATAATATAGCAGTTGTTCAAAAAAAAAAAAATAATAATAAAAAAAAAAAAAAAAAAAAATAAATAAATAAATAAATAAATCTGAATTATCTACATAATAAATTGAATTATTCCATATTATATATACATCAATCTCGAACATCTGAAAATTAACAAAATAAGCAAAGTATAATTTCATTATACAGAAAAAATAATAATAATAATAATTATATAAGCCAATTCCACTCTGGTCCAACCATGAACTTACTTCAGAGCAGGCAATTTTGCAGAATGTGTTACATCTGACAGCGAGGAGCTACATTCCTTGAGCTGGGCTGTTACCCGCTCATACTCAGGATGTTGTGGCTTTAGTACCAGCTTCGGGTGGTTGCATACTTTTCTTAAATACTGGAGTGCCTGGGGTTTCAAGAGAGAATATTTTTTAATGGACTTTGTCTAACTCGGAAAACTACAAACTGATTTGCTAAGCTTTTGAAAACTTGGTTGGTGTATGAAATATATGAAGCAAAATGGTGTTAAAATATATGAAGCAAAATGGTGTTAAACACAATGAAATACTACAGACAATGATGGTGTTCCTAAAATTCTGTTCCAAAATAATTATTACAAAAATAAAAGGTATTAAAAATGACCAATTCAAATCACAAAATGCCATCAAAATTTCAAAAGCAAAAGTTCATATACAAAAATCAAGGATAATGTCATAAAGAATGATTTTATGTCCAAAAAATATGGACGTCACTAACATAATCTAACTGAAACAGATGACAAGAATAATAAAGCCAATCTCTCACCTGGAATATATGACTATGAGGCTTGTTTCCAACTTCTTTCTCTTGGTCTGTACTTCTGAGTGCATCGTTAATATCCTGGTTGGCTTGTGTACGAGCAAAGTCCTCATACAACTGTTGTTGCAAAGGACTTAGATCACAGTAATAATCCTGTAATTGAAATTCCAGTTATTGTAATATTGGCCTATACTTCATGTATCTTTTAGTGTTAGTGAGCATTTTCCTTTATACCTGACATACTCATAGCTAAAAGCATAGTAAATAGTAAAAGAATTGTCTTTGATGCTTCAGTGCAGTCCTCCCTACTTCCAAATTTACAAACTTATCACTGCCAACATCTGAAGCTTCAGTTTTGTCTCATGGAAAAAAAAGTGGCAATACAAGTAAAAGGCATGTGTGTCACATACAGGTATCAAAATTGATCAAATACTGGTACTGACTGGTGAATCTGGAATAGCCAGGACGTGTACATACTGTCTCAAAAGGTTCCCCTAAATTTTGTACCTGAGTAATCTTGGGAGGCAAATCCTTCAGAACATCTTCCTTGACTCGCCGCAGTAGGAAAGGAAGAACCTGCCTGTGAAGTGCCTCCATGGCCAGGACCCCCGCTTCTTGCTCCTTGCTTGAGCTCTTAGCATCCCGTGACTGAAGGATTGGCTTGGCATAGCGGGCCATAAACTGTCTTTCTGTGCCCAAGAAGCCTGGCATCAAAAAATCAAAGAGTGACCACAGTTCCAGAACGTTGTTTTGTGGGGGGACAGAATCAGACGATGGTGGGCCACAAGTTGCTTAATGGCTTTGACTGCAAGAAAAGGAAAACATTTATACTCCAAGTCATTCATATTATCCTTTTCTTCTTATGAATTTACCTAAAAAGATTCCTAACTTATAGGAAAGGAACAATAACATGGCTAATTTTCTATGCAATATAAATATCTAGAGTCAGCCATATGATGATATATATAATTACATATACAACCTATAATAATAAATGCAATAAGTAAGAATAAGCAAGACTTCTTTATGGATATAGTAATGCATATATAAGATGAAATGAAACAAAAGTCAAAATAAGAAATGAAAATAAATCCTGTTTTGAGTCAGAACAGGCACATAATACGACAATAAAATTTAAATACTTTGTTTTATCTGGAGTCTAGTTTGACGCAAAATGTCTGTTTAAAATTCCTTTCTTTTACTGTGTTTCATTTCAGACTTTTTGTCATACAGAACCTTGCAACATATGTGAAAAATTATTTGTTTCTGAAATTTATAACATATACATCAATTTTTACCTTGTCTAATGGTTTTGTAAGAAAGAAAGAAAAAAGGTAAAGGAAAAACTGAATCCAAAATACATTACCTTTGTTTTTCCATTTTTAATAACATGACCCTCATCGAGAATCACGTAATTCCACTTAATTTGAGAGAAGAAATCGATCTCATTTCTTACAATGTCGTAAGATGCTACTATCAGGTTGTGGTCTGGGAAGAACCTCCTCAGTCTATAAAAATAATAATATTCTTATTGAAGATGATAATTTTAACAATAATAATGATGATAATGATGATGATGAAATATTTTTTGGGGGTAAAATCCCTTCCTTTATCCAGTCTTTTTCATACATCACTTTATCTTTATGTAGCAAATAATCTGAAGTGTTAAAATACAGATACTGATACAAGATACAAAAAATAGAAATCCACAAATTATATGTAACACCAACTTAAATGACAATACACTCTACTGTTGATATAATAAAACAGTAGCTGTACAATCCAGTAATCCACACAAGTATTTCAAAACCTTTCACTTTGTAAACTTTTCTTGTCTACAGTAGTTTTTTATCTGCTTACTTGTATCTCTCTGCTGGAGGGCCAAAGTAGTGTAGTGGATTCAAGTATTTCCTCTTGACAAACTTCTCAACCTCATAGACCCAATGTCCTGTGAGGGTCGGAGGGCATACCACAAGGGACTGGAGGGGTTTATTTCCCTTCTGGCCCAATTTCTGCAGGGTGACACATCAACATTTGTAAGTGAAAGATGGTAAAATCACGAGTAATTGAGTATCATTAAATGCAATGAATATTTCTGGAACCCAAAAACTACGAAACTAATTTAATCATTAAACATTTGGCAAAAACAATGCACTTACCTGATATTCCTTTCTTTTGCTGAAGTGATCACCTGCTAGAATACAGATTGACTGCAAAGTCTTGCCAAGACCCATGTCATCACACAAGATTCCATGAAGTCTGTACTGATTCAGGAAATAGAGCCAGTTCACTCCACTCTGTTGAAAAAAGAAATCCTTTATTGTAAACATTTTTCTATTCCACTTTAAATTTTGCCAACTATTTGGGCCAAGTGCATATTGGCATTTATAAAGCTACTTTTACTTTGCGCTTTACATGCTTGTTCTTCAAGACTGGTCTATCATTACATACTGTGCTGCAGGCGAAATCTTAGGAAATTTTCACACATTTCAAAAATGTTTGTCAAACAGTTGACAGTATGCTATCTATCATGGCAATAGCCTCCCTTTCTGCACCCCAAATCTTTTACACAAGTTTTCACATTTTGCCCCAGAAAAATATACATCTAGTCTGAGGACATACTTACTTGAAAACATATACTTAAGTGGTGTTTACGAAAGTTTATAGTAGAACTAATAATACTACAACTAAAATCCCTTAAAATTTAAAATTTTATACGTCAAACAGATCTCTTCATAAAAATAATCAAATCACCCTAGATATTAATCTTAAAGGAAAAGGATATCAGTACAAACAAATTATTCTCAATTTTCATACAATTCATTAAATAAACTTACTTGCTGGTATGACCTCAACTCTGCATTAATAGGCAAGGGAACATTGTAATTCTCAATTTTGGATGGATCAAGCAGTCTCTCAAGGAAATCCCTTTCTCTTCGCTTCTGCTGTAAGAGGACATCACTCAGATTGGGAGGGTCTGGCACACCTCCCTCAAGAGGCAATAATCGGATGAGGGTTGCAAAACAATGTGTGGCCATGAGGCGGACACTATTGTCTTGGTCACTCATACGACCTGTGTAAAGAAAAAAGAAATAAATTTCTCTATACACAATTACTATTATGGGTAATATATGCCACGTATCACTTCTGCAGAACCATAATATTATAAAGACTGTGCTAATGTACTTAAAGATAACAAGAAGTTAGTCACTTGGTATGTTCTATCCAATGCCCTTTCCTAAATTTCAGGCCTGATACAGTAATATCCAGATTCTATCCTCAATCATCTACTTCATGCTAAACTGCCTGGTGACAGGTACAGGCATTGTCCACTATGTATTCATTTTATTAATCCATTTACACTGTAATGGTACCCAATAAAGTCAATGTGGACGAAAACTCACACCATGATGACCTGATCTCACTTGTTTCTCACATTCCTTGAATTTTTTTTTGTGAAAAAAGGTTTCATTTCTATTATTATTATCATTATCACCTTTACGACATTATCAACAATAATAACAGTAATATAAATACATACTTTTCTTTCCAAAAATTCAAGGAAAGCAATAACTGGCGAGGTCATGTAGAACTAGAAATTGATTATTTGATGACTATGCACTTTTGCAGGCATCTACGAGTAAACAAAATCAATAAAACAAAACTAATGGACAGTATATGTGTACATGTATGCCTAGCAACTGATTAATGGAAATTCCAGGCTTCATAGTAAGCTCCCTAGGAGGGATAAGTAAGGTATACCCTCTTATTAACCCAATAACTGTGAGGTATTTGCTATAATCTGCAGCAACTGCGATTTACAGTAAATGGTGTGGGGATTTAATGCATCGGCCGTGGGTATTGTCCATTACAGGTTTTTGTGAATTTTACTGCACAAAAATGGCTCCATAAGTACTCAGCCACCATGGAGTCACTTAGTAAGCACTAGTAACAGCACCTGATTTCCCTATTACTTGAATTTGCGTATCTTGTCATAAATAATAAAATGAGTAGTTCTTTAGAATGTTCATTTTAGTCATTTATTGCTATTCATAAGGATTTTAATAGTTCTAAAGCTCCTTTATTTAAAAATCTGCCGAGATACCAATATCTTACCTAATAAAGGCACAATAAGGAGAACAATGTAAGGCACGACATCAAATCCCAAACGATCAATGGCAGCAAATATGCATTCAACAGCTCCTTGTCTCTTGTTGTCATTATCAATGGCAGTAAGTGCTGGCACAACCTGCTCCACCACATAGGTCATCACAGGCACAGTCAGCACAGTGGCGAGAGAGCCCATCACTCGAGTGGTCATGTGGCGCACTTCGCTGTATGGATGGTAGAGCCAGTGCTCAAACAGCTCTAACTTTGTCTCAAACTGGAATAATTCATATTTGTTATTGGCATATTCATTCAATTAATTTTCATATCAAATATTTTTTCATGTGAATTATGTATTCCATTATTATATTTTCATTATTCATGCAAATATAATGGGTATGTATTATGCATTCCCTTATTATATTTTCACTATTCATTTATATATCCACCAAACCATTTCATACTATGAAGAGAACATAGAGCTGGTTTCAATCCAGCATAGATAAAATACTTTTTCTTTTCCTTTTCTTAATACAAATACTTTCTCTTAATTGCAAAATATTAATCACCTAGCCACATGAGTGGTACAACAATCCACCAAACGTGAAATATACAAAGAAGGATACTAATTTTGCCAACTTCTAATCTAAGAATTCTCAATCACAGGCCAGACATCAGGAGAGTAACCAACCTCCGCAACCAACTTCGGATGTAGCGTTGGTACCACCACCTCCAGAAGCTGCAGCTGGTGCACTGCCTCCTGTGAATCCTTCACAGTTACTTCATTCTGGGGAGGTACACTGAATGGACTACACAGTAGATCCCATAGCTGAGGTACTTTGGTTGGCAGTTCAGCGCCAAAGTACTGAGCAACGTGCGTCAGAGCGGTTGTGCATCCTCTCCGTTGAATTTCTGCTAGTTGTTGATTCTGGAAATCAAAAGGTCAATTGACTTCCAAATTTGAATTAATGAACTTTAAAATCCTATATGTATATATATAATCATACTATTTCTAATGCAACATTCTACTCTAGGGTTTCAGGGAATGAAACTAATGTTTTCTATACAATACCTAGTGTTAGGTGTTGCAAGTCTAATCAACTCCAGAATTTCAAATAAATATACTTTTGGTAAAAACAATAACACTATGCCTACTATCCAGTGTAATATGCAAGAATATTTGTTCATTCATAGATTAGTATCACAATTACTGGAAAAAATGTATGTGTGTATATATATATTGTATATATATATATATATATATATATATATATATATATATATATATATATATATATATATATATATATATATATATATATATATATATATGTAATACAAATAATAATAATAAAATACTGATGAATAAATAAACTGGGCTGAAAATCCTATTTCCCTTCAATGCACTGTATCAAAAGTTGAGTTCAGGTCAAAGTTTGATTAATGTCTATGCTCATTACACTTGTACTATCATGAAAATGTAAAATGTCATAAAAAAGTTGTATAAATAATAATGATACAAAAACAATTAGTAATATTAATGAAATTACATATGAAAACAATAATATATTACTAAACAATCACACTTTACCTCTGAGTCTAAGATTGCCTCAGTAACCTCACTAGGGTCTTCTTTCTTTGCATTGGCCGGCGGTCTTCCTGGGCCACGTCCAGTGATTGATGAAGTTCGCCTGAGAAGCTGGCGCTCTGCGTTCTGTAAAAGTTATGTGATCATAAGGGCTATGGAATCTATGTCATTCACAAGAAGATTAAGCATTAAAGTAATTTTCATGTAATTTTCAATCTTAAGTACCAATCTTGATTAATGCCTGATCTCTTTTCTAGCTAAATCCACTTAAGAACTGTGCAGTTACAAAGTCCTGCCATATTTTTTTTTACTTTAACCCACTGGCAATGATGTCTTCATCACATCAAAAGTCAATGGTCTAATCACAAGGACGAGATCTCACACACACTAACAAGAGATGGATAACTATACATGCCCAGAGAAGTACATACAAACAAATAACTATCATCACAAAACTTTACCAAATTTCACTCGTCATTAAGACAAGATAAATATGAGAAGCAATTTTGATATACAACTCTGAAATCTTTATGCTAAATGCACCTATGTCATATGAACTAAAATAAATGTTGTATATTGTATAATTAACCCTTTCTCATATCTACAATTTCATGACTGAACTATAATACGAGAATACCCGTACCTTCAGCTGTGACGACAAGCTCAGTATTCCTTTTTGTTTATTGGCATCTCCTGTGTTCTTGGATTCCTGTTAAAAAATGGGTTATTAGCTTAAAATATGTTTAACACTTAGAGGACAGCAATGTACAGAGCTTCAGAGGTAAAAATAACTAATTTGTTTCTGTCTACTTTACTTTTGCCCAAACCACTCTCTTGGATATTCATAACAAAACTAATTTATGTAGATACATTTATATAGAATGTAGTAAAATCACCAGCATATCTATAATAAAGTATGGCCTGAAGCAATATAGCATATATGGCTTTGACATATTCATACTCTTTCCTTGTTATCTAATATTTGATCAAGATGACTCCTTTATATCCAAAATTC